AAGCAGTGGAAGCGCCGCTTCCCTTGTATTTTCTAAAATATAAATACATATTGCGCGATTATTTCCATATTTTAACGTATTTTGGATTAATTAAAATTAATATTTTATTATAACTGATTTCGTATGTCCCATCTATAAGGGGATGTAGAAAAAAATGTGTATAATTCTTGTACAATGTTAAAAAATTAACTGTTACTTTGGTAGCATCATTTACAACTAAATTTAATGAATGAGAGAGATGCATGAGGTACAGAAAAAGCTCTAGAATTTATTTTCCTTAAATTTACGATTTATGTATCCGTTTGTCATAAAAATTTGTCTTTCCACTTTTTCCCGATACTATAAATATTCAACTACAAAGTAACCAGTTTTGACTTATTTCTACTTAAGAAGTAATTAAATAATTAAGAGATCAGGGAATTGGATACATAAATAAAACCCTGCTGAAAGAGCCGGAATTTTACTGAACCAATCACTAGCCGAGTACAGTGGGGACTGATTTCTTCGTATTATTAATGTAATAAAGACAGAAATTTTTCTAGTTCAACGAGAGTGACTGAAAAGTAAATTTTGGAAATTTCCGTGGACACCTGGTCCTAAAATGAATTAGTTAGAAAACAAACAACGGACAATCTATTAAGTTTAACATATTTAGATTTTTACAGCTATCGTAAGAAAGGTTTAAAATTTACAACGACTCTGTCGCATCCTTTGAAGTATACTAGTGATGCGACAAAAGAGGCATTTGACATTGGCCAGTATCGGCACCCTCGGGATTTAGCAGTCCGCGTGCCGTGCAATCTACTCTGATTCCATCCATTAGCCACTCGTAGGGAGTTATTTGACTAAGTGGATTGTTTTAAGATTTAAAAAGAAAATAATATTTTATGTTATTTTTATGTATGTTTCTTTTCAAAGCTATATTTAATTATAATTTTCTTTAAAAGTATATTCATACAACTGAAGAATATTTTGTACCAGGTATGGTATCGATACATCCACCTCACATTTCATTTCACCAAGTAAGTTTTTATTATTTTATTTTTAATTGCGTGGCTAGCAATTCGAAATGTAATTGTGATATGAAAAATACATTTAGAAGTCTACAGTTTTTACTGGCTTATCGAACAAATGAATACGAATGGATCCTAGACCATCACATGTAATTAACTGATTGCCCCTGGAAGTTGGCTTCTTACAGAAACACAGCTTCCCTATCGTCAAATGTCATGGCACACCACAGCAGTATTCTGTGTGCATTTATGCACACAGAATACTGCTGTATAAACAAGATAAATAATTTTGAAATAATGATTTCAATTCATTAATGAGTTAATGATGAATCCATTTACTTTGTTAAAATATTTCACATGTAAGTTTTATGTATTTTTAGTACAAAACTTTACACAAAATTAAATTTACATCCTAATATTTCATACTGTAATATAGATTTCCTATTTAAAAATTTACACTTTAACTGTTTAACATTTATATTATTGTATTTAATTATTTTTTTCACTTGAAAAAGTTACTTTATGTTTGAAAGCATTTATCTTAACAGATTCCCTGAATATCGGATAGCATTAATTTATTATATATAGTCTATAGTATATAAAATAGTTGATGATAAGGTTAAATATTTAAAAATATTTTTTATATGTTATGAATAGAGCTGCTCGGGGAACACAATGGGATAAATGCCAAAATGGAAATTTTAGAATACTGAAAAAATAAAATTGTGATTGAACCATAAATCTGAGTAAATTTATTCTAAAATCAATCTTTTAATGAAAGTGTTTTGCAATCAATCTAGTTTCATAATGACATAATTGAAGTAAGAATCAAATAGATCACACCAAGGCAATGGCAATAGAAATAGTAATAGATAGTGATGGTGCTTACCATTATGTTTTTCAAAGCAGCTCAATTATATCTATATAAACATTTGAAGATTTAAACAAAACAATGTTTTCAGTTTTTACATGAATATAATATATTAAACAGCTTATAATAGACAAATAACAGATAACAAATCTGTTAATCAAAACAGCTATAACCAACTATATTTGTCAACCAAAAAGCAAATATTAACATGGAGAAAATAAATTAATACTCACTTATTCTTCATAGTATCAATATCAATTGTATTCTGTTGAAGATATGTTTCTGATAAATTACATAAATATTTTGCTGCATTTTTCATATTAACAGCAGTTGGTCTAGCTGTAACTAAATATTCAAGTTGTTTAATTATAAGTTCATGGAGTTGATCCTTATTTACAAAAGATTTTTCTTGCAATTCAACAGCTAAGCTTAAAGCTCCAACAAGTGCAATAGCTGGTGCACCTCTGACCTAATATTTTAAAAAATAAAAGTTATTAACTACTTTGATAAATTATAAGCTTTTTGAATTGTCAACTTTTTATCATTAAACAAACAAAAAATTTATAATTTTAAAAGTTATAGAATTGTTCTTGTTTTAAGTGAAAGTATTAAATTTTTAAAGCACTAAAAACCATAAGCTGAAAATAAACTAATAAGATATTTAAAAATTTCTAATAAAAATTGTGTGTTGATAAAACTTTTAACTAAACTTCAAGAATAATACACTAAACAGACTGCTTGTACCTTTTGTTTTAAAAAAGATATTATCAAAAGACAATCTGTTTAATGTATTAGTCTAAAAATTTTGATCTTCTAAATATCTGAATCTGGTTATTTTAAAGATTTAAATAAATAGTGTGTAATTGTTATTTCTAAGTAGAGAAGCTATCATTTATAAGAAATTAAATTATTATTGTAAGCAGATCAATTAAATTTTTAAAAAATACACGTATCTCTTATGTTTATCTAAATTATTTGTTTTTAGTATTACAAAATTTTTCCCTTAAACATTTTCAGAAAATACAATAGAATTATTGTAAACACTTTGGACTCATATTGACAATAAAAATTGGATAAATTTAAGAGGTTTTAAGGATGAAAGTGCCAGGAGTATATAAAATCTTGGTCATGGACAACAGGCTCAATAGGGATTTAGAATATGTAGTAGCTACCAGTTGCTTTTCACTCAGTAGACTAAAAGAACATAAATATACCATTGAGAAAGGAAAGTGTCACAACATTGACTGCCTGCACATCAGATCCAGGTGCAGTGATATAGGTTAAATTACATGAAACTTGACTATTACATTCCACTAAGCATGGCAGATTTGAAAGGTCTTGAACTATTATAAGTATTTAAAGCAACAAAATAGGACATTATATTAACTATAAAGATGCTGAATCCATCTCCACAGCATGGTTGTGTTATTATAGTTCTTTGTAATTGCCCTTATTCATTCATCTGTTAAAGCATTCCTTTCATTTTTGGATGACCTGTTGCAAATTCTGCATTAAGAACAATTGTAATGCCATCTTGGTAACATATTCATATATGTTCACACATTTTATGTATACTTTCATATTAGATCTATGAATTTCATTTTGTTTTCTTTTACTTTACCTTTGTTTTTGACATTTGCATTTTATTCAACTTCTAATTGGTTGTCTTGGATTTACATTGCAAAATCAAGTTCTAACATTTAAATTAAATCAATGCTGTAAAATAGAAATGGTCAACTTTAAAACACTCTCTAGAAGATTGTAACCTGAAAAAGGCCTATTGAATAAGACTGAAAACATTTTGTTTTGATAAAATTTTGCTTTTGCTGAAATATAGAAGATAATGAATTAATTTGTCTTATGTTTCCAGTTTGTTCATATATATGTCTGCAACATTTTCAAAATTTGCAAAACTGCATATAATTCCAGTATAATGTGATTTATCATGATAGCAAACTAGATTAATAGTTTGTTAATAGATTAATAATATGTAGATTCTCTACATTATCAATTATCATAATTTATCATGATAAATGACAGTTTGATATATATGCACTAGATGGGGCATATAGTAAACTTTTAAAAACTATTCCATTCATAACTAGATGAAAAGTGTAAAAGGGCTGTTGAATAATCCAAAATATATTCTGGGACATTATGCATTAATGAATAATAAATACAGTTCTATTTTCCAATGAAACAATAGTTTCATGTCTACTTATTTTGAATATGTCTACTTTTTCTTAAACTTCCTGCACTTTAAGAAAAGATATACAGTCGACCCCCCCTATAACATGGTAGGAACGTTATAATTTTTATGAATCCATTTTCTACGAGTCCAGACAATCACAGCCCGGCACATATGCAGTTTACGGACTATGGCTGTTTGAAAGGTTTCTTTCATAAAATTAATCGATTCTAGACTAATTCGACTCAACATTTCCAAAATATGTATAATTTTTTGGGAATAATCCATATAAACTATGCTATAAACAAAAAATTGTAGGATTACTTACCGAACGTGCACCATTCAACTACACCATTGCTTAAGCTTGTTTTCGTCGTGGAGCTTGTCATCGAATGGCGCTCACATGCTTCCTGATAAATTATTTTTTTTGCGAAAAATTCGCTGAACTATGGAGATATCATTAATATAAATATAATTTTTATGGACATTAAATAATAAATGGTTTTTAGTAGGTCCACTGCTCGTTTAAACTCAACGGTTTGTACAATATCTGCTATTGGTCTAGATTCAACCAATCCTGTCACAACACGAGTCGGTGATGACGTTTTACTGAATTATATAAGTTTTTTTAGCATGTTTGTCGAATACTGTCACAATTTTTTCGCCATGATATAGGAATCCGAACTATAGGAACTTGTGTTATGGGGGGTTGACTGTATTTATAAAATTTTTTAAATCCTAAAATTAGAGAAAATACTTTCTAAAAAATAATGAAAGTGATTGAATACATAATTTTATTACTGATTTCTCTTTTTATATTATTTTTATCAAAACAGTCCAATAAATAAATCAATTTGTATCTATAAGCTTGTTTATAGACGTATACATATTTCAGTTATTTTATAATTAATCTAAATATCACTTTTACTGAAATATAAATCAAATTTTTATTTTCTAAGTGGCATAATATATTCAATATTTTAAAGTTAATAAATTAACATTTACAATAGCCTTCATTTTTTTCATACCTTCATATAATGAATTGCATCCCATCCATCTTTGACATTAGAAATAGGAATATATGATGTTTGGTGAGGAAGTTGAAGCTGATCCAAAATCTTCAATTTACCTTTTTCATATATAATAGCTTCCAACATTTTCCAAACTAAAATTGCAAGTAAATTATAATACGAATGTACTATACTTGCTTTACATATTTGTAATATATACAAATATAAAAATACAAAAATTATATATTTTGTAAAAATGTTTATCATTATTTAAACATTATAAAATACTGATTCTGTTAGTAATAATATCCTAATTCCAAAACACTAGAGTAATATTATAAAAACATGTTAACACTTTTGAATAAGTAAATATTTAATCTTTTTTTTGTAAATCAGACCGAAATTTTAAACTCTATTTATTTACCTTTTATTATTATTATTATTACACTCTGTGTATATATCTAAATTCTTTTAAATGCTTACATAAATTAGAAAGAATTTGAAAAACTATGTATTCAAAATAAAAATATCTATTATTCAAAAGAAAAGTATTGAGTTTTCATTTCACTTTATCTTATCCATAATTTTCTAAAAGTATTTGAATTTTGTTATATTATCTTGTATTCTATATTTCCATAATTTGATAGAAAGTAAAAGGAAAATGTATCATCATTTGGTGTAATTATTTGTGGTAATTCTTAATTAATATTGAATATAATCTGAAATTATTTGGAAAATTTCCCTAGTAAAAATATTACTTGAAATTATTTGCTAGTAATAAATGATTCCACGTATTATGAAATGATGTCAGGGACAGAACAATGGACTCAGTCTCTGACTGTGGGGAGCATGGAAGGTTTTGAGGAATTTGGGGCATAATGGTAAGAGTTTGTAGGGAGCACAATTCTTAGAAGAAACAAGAAAAGGATGAAAGGAATAACTGAATTATAAGTAAAATAATTTCCTTAGTGAAGTGTTAATGAAGTTGAGGGTACATCCTGAATGTTAATAAAGTCTCTCTCAGAAATTGTAAATTCATTATGAGCATAAAGTTGATCAAGAAGACCTTCCTTGTTTCCTAACTGATGGATTAATGCTCATAACAACAGCTAAAACATTTCTGGGGAACTGCATGTCCCCTATCAACATCAGACACCCTAACTAAAACATTCAAAACAATTTCAACCTGTCTGTTGTATCACAGTTGCATCAGCTAACATTCAGAACATGTTATGGCTTTTCTTAATCACCGCAGCACGTAGTGGTCAAATATCATGAAAGTCACAACGCGTATTTCACTTTGTGGTCATTTTGCGTTAGTCACAACGTGTTGTGGTTGTTTTTACAATAAAATTTACACTGAATAAATAAAAGGCTCCAAAAGCATTATATGATGATGTTATATTCAAAACTATTAAAGAACAATTACTACAATATAGCTGAAAAACAATAAATTTGCAACTAAAAATCAAAGAAGCAAGATAATTACACACCTTAAAAACCTTAAATCACCAGTAAAAACTTTAATATACTTAATATTTAGACAAATGTTTTCAATCTACTACTTAGATCATCTTCAGGTCTAAAAATTAAGTATATTAAAGTTCTTTACTTGTTATTTAAGGTTTTTATGGTGTGTAATTATCATTTATGCATATCCAATCTGGTATAGAAGTTTAACATAAAGAATGCAAGTTTTTAGAAAATTTATGCATATTTTATTTTAAAAAATATATACATTATATTCTAGGTCAGTGGTTCCCAATTAGTTTTTCCTGCGTACCACTTCAAGAAAGAGCTCAAACTCACGTACCCTTTATAGCAGAAATTCATATTAATCCATACTAATATTATAAATTTGAAAGTAATTCTGTCTGTCTGTCACTGAACAGGTTTTAATAAAATTTGGCACAGAGATAGCTTACATGTTGGAGATGGATTTTACTGTGAGAAAATATCTTACTCCCACGAGAAAATTTGATATAATGCGGGCGAAGCTGTGGGTAGACAGCTAGTGATAAATAGAATAAGTTTTTTTTACATTTATTACCTTTAAAATACAATTCTAATAATATTGAAAATAACATAAGGTTATTTAATTTTAATGTGACAAATGTGCACGATTTTCTTTGCACAACTTTGTAAAATCTGGTTGCTTTTTGGTCAGCTTCAGTCTCAAGTCATCTTCAAGTTAAAGTGTTTGTCATGGCCGAAAATCCACTCTCGCAGATGTATGTTGTGCAAAATGGTAGTAAATATTTTATTGCCGCTTCGCTGACATGATAATTGTACAATTAACACAAATTGTTTTAATTGTGCAATTTTTGTTTCTTGTGTAAGAATTTAATTTAGGTATTGTCACAAATGCGTTTTTTGATGAAATTTAGAATATATTTTTAATTATAAATAAATGAATTTGTGCATTCAATATCATGTTGTAAATTGCCAAATTTTTGATGGTCCACCCATTATTTCTTTGATTGCTTCATCTCATGCATTTAAATTTTAAATCGACCAATTTTAGATTGCCGCGCATACCCCTTCACCCAAAACATAATCCCTTCACGCAATTGGATAATAAGCTCTGTTTGGATAATGAGTGTTGGTAAACTCTTTAACCTCTCCCCATTTGACAGGGAAGTTTTTGTCAACTTTCACTCCTTCTGATGACGTCTTGCTTTGTTTCAATTGAAATCACCTTTCTGTTATTTTAGAAGCCATGATTTGCACAACACTTAAATAAATGTAAATACCCTGCACTAAGGTGATGTACGTTAATAAACAAGGGATCAAGCCGAATCCTAACGGGAGCTCTATACTTCAGATATACTAATAATATATTCTAATAATACTAATATATTATAAAAATAGAAGATTGTCATTGGCAACGGCAAAAGAGTGGAAACATCATTCGCACTTGTTCGCAGAAAGACCGTTGTTTGCCTCACGTAACTGTTGAATGGAAAGTCCGTTGTTCACAGCAGTCTGTTGCTCGAGTCACATAACAGCCAAACAGAAAGTCCATTGTTTGCAGCGTCCGTTATTCAAGGCGTATGTTATATGAGGCACCACTGTATATAAAAAATTATATACTTTTCTTAGTATGTTTGTTTATATGTAATGACTTACATATAAACAAACATAGTAAGAAAGTACTGTATATAATTTTTTATTTATTTTTGTGGGTCTCCAAAATGAATTAATCAAATTCCCATAAAAATCTATGGTAAATGAATAATCGGTTAACGAACAATTTGGATAGCAAACAGTCTTGGATCAAATTATGTTTGTTAACCGATCACCATGGGCGTAGCCAGAGTTTTGTTATGGGGGGCCTAGTGGAGGCCGACCTGACACAAAATTGAATTATTTCAAATTATTGTTCATTATTGGGTACCGAGCAAGCCGTTTACCTTTTTTTTTGTATTCAAAACTTTTATTTTAGATTTAGGTGTTTACAAATCGACTCAACACTTTTTCGGCTGTGATTTCCTGGGGGGCAACAGGTTCCCTGGGAGGGGCCGTGCCCACCCAGGCTCCCCCCTCGCTACGCCCATGCCGATCACCCACTGACTGTATTGTTAAATTTCTTCCAGACTATAAGTTACAAATTAATTAATTTCTAGTCTACAAATAGTTCAAATATTTTTAAAAATCTATTATTGTTTTATTTCATATCAATTCAATGATGATATATATCACATTCAATTATTTTAGAATTTATTTATTTATGTTATATTTATATTTTTGTTCTATATATGTATATTTTTTTGTGATAAAGATAACTTTTATCACAAAAATATACATATACAGAACAGATATATATATATATAATGTTAAGATATCAATTATGCAATGAATGTATAATGCCAAAAAATTTTTACTGGATATTTAACATAAAGATATAATTTGGAATATGCTATTTATCTTTAGCAACATAAGCATATTTCTCAAAAACATTAGTTATCTGAAAATAAAAAACATTACAAATAAATAAAAGCAGATTTTTAAATAGGCAAACAATATCCAAACAATATTAAACTTAATATATAAACAACTTATTTCATTAAAAAGAGAACCAAGCATACTGTCAAAAAAACATGTTTAGCCTCAGGCAAAGTTGTAAGATAACTAAATCCATGTATCCTGATTACTTTCTCCTATGAATTCAATTCATAACAAGTCAAATACGTTTCTTGTTTTAGATCCACGATTTCTTCCTTTAAAATTCTTTATACAAAAATATTTAACGATTTATATACCTGTAATTTAACATATAACTTTTTTATTATTTTGTTCACCGTTTTCTTTCCAATTATTAGGTCAAAAACCACTTCAGAATTGCAATTATGAGCTGAAAGATTTTCTATCGAAACTGAATTAAACGTGAATTTTAAGCATCATGTTAATGTTAATTAATATATGATACAAATAATAATGTTACAGGTTGAAATTTAATATCGTAAAATTAAGGATCTAAGAATATGTCATGCCTAATTCATTAAATGCTTTAAAATTTCAACCTGTAGCAGAAATATAGTACATAAAATAACTGTAACGAGTCATTGAAGTGTTGATTTCTATATTTAATTATAATTTTCTTTAAAAGTATATTCATACAACTGAAGAATATTTTGTACCAGGTATGGTATCGATACATCCACCTCACATTTCATTTCACCAAGTAAGTTCTTATTATTTTATTTTTAATTGCGTGGCTAGCAATTCGAAATGTAATTGTGATATGAAAAATACATTTAGAAGTCTACAGTTTTTACTGGCTTATCGAACAAATGAATACGAATGGATCCTAGACCATCACATGTAATTAACTGATTGCCCCTGGAAGTTGGCTTCTTACAGAAACACAGCTTCCCTATCGTCAAATGTCATGGCACACCACAGCAGTATTCTGTGTGCATTTATGCACACAGAATACTGCTGTATAAACAAGATAAATAATTTTGAAATAATGATTTCAATTCATTAATGAGTTAATGATGAATCCATTTACTTTGTTAAAATATTTCACATGTAAGTTTTATGTATTTTTAGTACAAAACTTTACACAAAATTAAATTTACATCCTAATATTTCATACTGTAATATAGATTTCCTATTTAAAAATTTACACTTTAACTGTTTAACATTTATATTATTGTATTTAATTATTTTTTTCACTTGAAAAAGTTACTTTATGTTTGAAAGCATTTATCTTAACAGATTCCCTGAATATCGGATAGCATTAATTTATTATATATAGTCTATAGTATATAAAAATAGTTGATGATAAGGTTAAATATTTAAAAATATTTTTTATATGTTATGAATAGAGCTGCTCGGGGAACACAATGGGATAAATGCCAAAATGGAAATTTTAGAATACTGAAAAAATAAAATTGTGATTGAACCATAAATCTGAGTAAATTTATTCTAAAATCAATCTTTTAATGAAAGTGTTTTGCAATCAATCTAGTTTCATAATGACATAATTGAAGTAAGAATCAAATAGATCACACCAAGGCAATGGCAATAGAAATAGTAATAGATAGTGATGGTGCTTACCATTATGTTTTTCAAAGCAGCTCAATTATATCTATATAAACATTTGAAGATTTAAACAAAACAATGTTTTCAGTTTTTACATGAATATAATATATTAAACAGCTTATAATAGACAAATAACAGATAACAAATCTGTTAATCAAAACAGCTATAACCAACTATATTTGTCAACCAAAAAGCAAATATTAACATGGAGAAAATAAATTAATACTCACTTATTCTTCATAGTATCAATATCAATTGTATTCTGTTGAAGATATGTTTCTGATAAATTACATAAATATTTTGCTGCATTTTTCATATTAACAGCAGTTGGTCTAGCTGTAACTAAATATTCAAGTTGTTTAATTATAAGTTCATGGAGTTGATCCTTATTTACAAAAGATTTTTCTTGCAATTCAACAGCTAAGCTTAAAGCTCCAACAAGTGCAATAGCTGGTGCACCTCTGACCTAATATTTTAAAAAATAAAAGTTATTAACTACTTTGATAAATTATAAGCTTTTTGAATTGTCAACTTTTTATCATTAAACAAACAAAAAATTTATAATTTTAAAAGTTATAGAATTGTTCTTGTTTTAAGTGAAAGTATTAAATTTTTAAAGCACTAAAAACCATAAGCTGAAAATAAACTAATAAGATATTTAAAAATTTCTAATAAAAATTGTGTGTTAATAAAACTTTTAACTAAACTTCAAGAATAATACACTAAACAGACTGCTTGTACCTTTTGTTTTAAAAAAGATATTATCAAAAGACAATCNAAAATTCCTAGGGTTTTTCGATTCGTATGAATTCGTTTCCTGGTCCCCAAGAAAAAATCAACATTAATTTTACTAACACAAAATAAAATATTTAAGACTGGTTTTTATTAATAAAGAAAAAGTCTATATATTCCATTTGTTTAAAAAAAAAAATGGCTAAACAGACCCAATCTACTGAACCCTACAGAAGTTCTCGATGGCCCTAAATAGAAGCCAATTTCCCATAAAAAGTCCTCCCTGGTAGCATCCTCTTTGGCAGATCGCCAACGTAAACGTTGCCGTATCCCACCAACACCAAACCTTATAGAAATTAAAACATTTTAAAATTACATTGGCTCTAATCACGCACAGCTGCTAGCAATCATTATTTAAAATCGAGAAACCCGAAACGTCTCGCAAAATTCTTCGTCATACTGTATTAACCTAAAGAAAAACATATCCTTCATAGTTCATTTGGATAATTGTATTTTGTTAAACCTATCTTTTACTATTAACAAATAAATTTAAAAATTATTTCTACCTTTACATCTATTTTCTAGATTATAATTGATAAAAATTAATACTACTTTTAAATGATTACTTTTATCAATACTATTGCGAAAACGTAACGCAGTAATTCATCAGATAAATTCACCTTATAAAGCAAGTCTTTAGAAGTAATTCCTGAAGATATACGAATTTTTTACTATTATATATACGATTTATAATTATATCAATAAAATAAAGAAGTTACAATATTTTTATTATTATATGCTCAAGTATATACGTCAACCAATATAAACATCAGAGTTTAAAAACCACTTCTTTATACTTTAATATCAAATTTAAAAAATTATCAATTGATTAGAGAAAATGAAAAAAAAAATCTTAGTTGCAATCAGAAGAAACTTTTAAAAAGCTTCCACAATTTATTTTTTGATACAATTTTGGATTTATACGGATACACAACGTTATAATACGCATTTAATTGGCCTAATGCCAATGACTAGATTATAGAAAATAACGATCTGTAAAAGNAAAAAAAAATCTTAGTTGCAATCAGAAGAAACTTTTAAAAAGCTTCCACAATTTATTTTTTGATACAATTTTGGATTTATACGGATACACAACGTTATAATACGCATTTAATTGGCCTAATGCCAATGACTAGATTATAGAAAATAACGATCTGTAAAAGAAAATAACTGATGTCATCTATGCGTTTTGCACTTATATAAAATTTACATTGTTTATCAATAGAATGACTCATCGTTTAAACTGATATATTTACTAATTTTCATGTAGAACGTATATGTTGAAAGTGCTTCAATAGATGTGAAAATTTTCAGAGAAAATACAAATTTTAATTAAGTGAGTATCATTATCATTGTTAAAAACAGGAAAAGAGATTATAATGTTAATTAAAAAATAAAATTGTTTGATAGTTTCAGTAAATTAAAACAAAGGAAATATGTTCAATGTTAATAATGTAGCTTAAAAACTATAGCTTTAATTATATAAAATGAGTAAAATGATTTATTATGTAAATATTCTGAAGCCATTTTGAATGCGAATAACTAGATCTTTCATATAGAAAAGACTATAAAAAGATGTGACATAAAGAGAAAATATTAAATATTCCAAATAAATTGCTCTAATAAAAAGAATCTGTTTAAAATTTTACATTCTTTCCATACAAATCTTTCCAACATAATTTAACGTTTAAAAGTTTATATTTTATAAATATAATTGTATTGCATTCGTATTTATGTTTATTTTAAAATTCATTAATATGTCTTGGTTTTAGGATTTGAATATGTGAATTCTATATTTAAATGTAAAGAGAAATATAGAGTCTCGAGCCAAATAGATCTGTAAACTACAGTATTTAATTAAAAAAGATGAGCGCATTTCCTGGTAAAGCGGCTTTCATACAGCTGGATAATTAAACCAATCATTGTTTTGCTTATCTAGTTATATTAAAGCCATTTTACCACGAAATGCGCCATATCTATGACGCTATCCGTACGTCATGCATCGATGACGTTTTCACCGAAAATTCTCCCGGAAGTCATAAATATCTCTATTAAATAGTATTCATTTTATAATAAAAATAGGTAGGCCTATATCGTATACATTCCTTGCACTTAAAACAAAATTAAAATTCACATACATTCAGCGTTGAGAAATGGAGATTTCGTACTAAGAACGGCTGTCACTTTCTCAACATTCGGGGTGCGTCTAGGTCAGGCCTGGTCAACCCAAACTGTTTCGCGGGCCACTTTGATCACGTGTAACATTACGGTGGGCCACAATTTAGGCAAACATGCTTTTAAAAAAGTAAAACAAATACAAAATGAATAAGATTTTATTGTCATACCAAGAGATCGTACTCGCTCTTGCGCATTATAACAATGACACATACAAATTTTCATTTATTTGATTGTTCTGGTATACACATAACGGGAAACAAAAGTTTTAATAGATATATAATATAGCTTAGCGGGCCACACAATTTAACGTGACGGGCTGCTGGTTGGCCAGACCTGGGGCCGTATTCTGGTCACCGTCTCTGGTCTCTCGTCTCTCACAAGCCGGTCGCTGATTGGCTAATCATTTGGATTAGCCAATCAGCGACTGTCTTGTGAGAGACGAGAGACCAGAGACGGTGACCAGAATATGGCCCCTGGTCTGGCCAACCAGCAGCCCGTCACGTTAAATTGTGTGGCCCGCTAAGCTATATTATATATCTATTAAAACTTTTGTTTCCCGTTATGTGTATACCAGAACAATCAAATAAATGAAAATTTGTATGTGTCATTGTTATAATGCGCAAGAGCGAGTACGATCTCTTGGTATGACAATAAAATCTTATTCATTTTGTATTTGTTTTACTTTTTTAAAAGCATGTTTGCCTAAATTGTGGCCCACCGTAATGTTACACGTGATCAAAGTGGCCCGCGAAACAGTTTGGGTTGACCAGGCCTGACCTAGACGCACCCCGAATGTTGAGAAAGTGACAGCCGTTCTTAGTACGAAATCTCCATTTCTCAACGCTGAATGTATGTGAATTTTAATTTTGTTTTAAGTGCAAGGAATGTATACGATATAGGCCTACCTATTTTTATTATAAAATGAATACTATTTAATAGAGATATTTATGACTTCCGGGAGAATTTTCGGTGAAAACGTCATCGATGCATGACGTAC